CTAAAAGCTCAGCTGGTTGAGCTGAGGTTCATCTGCTTAAAGATTGTGCCCAGATGGTCTTATAGTCACCACCAATATCTTCAAATACCTGATCCCATTTTGGGTAAATCTGCTCCCATCTGTGAGCCATACCTTATCTGGTGTCACCAACAGGACTTCAATCAGATTAGGCTTGACAGACTATATCAATGTATCAGGCCAGTCATCTCAAGGCAGTCATACAGGGGTCACACAGGGTCATCTTCTGGCAGGGAACTGGTGGGGTCGAGGGCTGATGTCCTGTGGAAAAAATGCAGGGTTGATGTGGAAGCAGGGCTTGGCATGGGGTCACCAGGCATTAGACATCCATCTTTCAAGGGGTGCCTTCCCCTCAAGGGGTCAAAAGAGTGTGGGACTGTCTGGAACAGTTTATGCCCTACGTTAATGTCAGCTTCTTTTATCAGCAGGGCAGTGGCAGCTATGGCCCTTATATATGCTAGCCATCCAGCTGAGACTGGGTCTTTTTTGCCACTGGTCTTTGCAGAGTCCCAGGGTTTGTATGAGGACCTCCCCTAGGCAATGCCTTTGGCCTCATGCACATACACAAGGGGAATGACTTGGTAATGTCTGGGAGGGCCAGCACAGGAGCAGGGCCCTTTTTCAAGGCCTCAGAGGCCCTCTTCTCAGTTTCAGCCCATTCCAAAGGCTATGGACCATACCCCTGATACTGGCATAGTCACCTCAGCAAATAGCCTGCAGTGTCCAACCCCCCCCCCCCCAGGAATTTCCTTCTCCCCTCCCCCTATGTGGGAGTAGAGATTTGCAGGATGGCTAAAACATGGTCCTAGCAAAGTGTCTGCTTTCCTTCCTCTAGGTTGTAGCCTGGGTATGTACCTAAGGAACTGACTGACAGCTGAGCCTTCGTGGCTGAGACTCTGTAACCCAAGGCTTGGAGAGTGTCTAAAGGCCTTCTGTTGTCTGTTCACATTCCTCCTCTGTAGTCATAGCCTTGAGGCTAACTACATATACTGGAGCAGGGTACCTTGAGGGTATTTTTGTCTAACAGCTATTTTAGATGTGTTTTTAAAGATACTTAGGATATTTTTTTTCAACAGATCTGAATTCAGGGACCCATCAAACAATGCAGGTGAATCCCTGAACCCCTTCTCATGGTCTATTTGCCTCATTTCTGGTCTGTTTCCCCAAGGATCAAAACCACATGGGAGTTTTCTTCCGTCTTCAGCTGAATCTCAGCTGTCGTGAACTTTCTGAGCAATTTCCCAAAGTTGAGACTTCAAATTTCTCATTTCTGGAGCTTTCTTCTTATGTCTGGGGCCAGCTGCATAACAAAGACAGTATTAGTAACTTACTGGTTTGGGGAACATCTAGGTGTGTGGCGTTAAGTATCTTGTATGTGTCAGTCTTTCCAGAAACCCAGTGGGCAATTCATTAGGTTGACTTACTTTTAAGGTGGTGGATTTTCTGGCTGCCACTTGTAATCCTCCCAATGTTTGTGTGTGTGTGGAGGGGGAGCATGTTGCCTTCAAAGTTTCTAATGAGTCGTTTCCAACAGGCTTTTAAAAGGGCCTGTGGCTTCTCTGAGGATGGGAAGTTTGGGGAAGTCACTAACAGAGAAGAGGGCATAAACCATGAACCCAGCTGAATTTCCAGGTCAGGTTAACTATTTTCTCTTCCCTGCAGTGGGGCTGAGAACAGGCAGAAGTTTTGGGTTTCTCTGGGCTACCTGGTTGCACCAAAACTTGGGTCACCAGCCAAGAGAGCACAGGTCTTAAACAAAGAGTGTTTTGCACCAGAAAAAAAGCCATTGGTTATTAAACTGGTGGCTGCAGTTTGCATACATACATGTACACAGGCATGCATATATGCTCATACAAATGTGTATTTAACCTGAGTTCTAATTTCAGCACTTGCACACTAACAATTTTAGTCTTTGATGATTTCCAAAGCCACTCTTGATATCCTATATAGCCTTGATATACTTTTTTAATTACAGTATATTCACTTTGTATCCTGGCCCTAGGCCCCTCCCTCATCTCCTCCCAGTCCTACCCTCCCTCCCTCTTTCCTCCCCTATGTCCTTTCCCTAGTCCACTGATAGGAAAGGTCCTCTTCCCCCTACCATCTGACCCTAGCTTATCAGGTCTCATCAGGGCTGGCTGGATCCTTTCTCTGTGGCCTAGTTTGGCCACCTTGCCAGAGAGAGGTGATCAAAGAACCAGCCACTGAGTCCATGTCAGAGACAGCCCATTCCCCTTACTAGGGCACCCACATGGAGACTGAGCTGCCCATAGGCTCCATCTGAGCAGATCAAGGTCCTCTCCATGCATGATCCTTAGTTGATTCATCAGTCTGCAGGACCCGGAGCCCAGAGCTTTTGACTCTGTTGGTCAACTTGTGGAGCTAATTTTCTATTTAAGCCATCTAATCCAGAGCTTATCACCTGTTAAAATGTACCAGTTATCTGCAAGAACTCCTCCAAGTATGGCTTTCTTTATAAACCCCAAAATACTAGACCTAGAAATGAAGATGGTGCTAAGTACTGATCTTCTCAATTGACTCTTAAAAAATGTCAACCTTCCAGAGCAGTGAGTATATCTTTTATTGCATAGATACCAAGAAAAATTACCTTGGAAGCTCATGTATGTGAAGCAAATGCAATGTGAATTTATAGACGAATGGGTCAGAATCAGCCCCCCCCAAATGAGCAAATCATTTCATACCATCTAAAATGTGGGAGACCTTGCCCAAGTGACTAGTCAGTTGTGTATGCCAGCATTTCCAACAGGCACCACTGTTTATGCGCTACAATGAAAACTGTATTTTCATCTTCACCATGATCTCGGCCAAAATAATAAACTAAGCCTCTGAAAACATAACCAAGGCTCCATGAAATGCTTTTGCTTATTAAGAGTTGCCTTGGTCATAGTGCCTCTTCACCACAATGAACGGGACTAAGACATACATATATATCAAAGTATGTGTACATATAAATATGTACACATGTAGACTTACTTTTGTAAAATATCTCAAGATGCTCTTCATAAATTACCTGCCCAGCTTAGCAAATTCAGCATATTTACAATTTTCAATCACAACGATTTACACAATTTTACATTATCCACCAAAATTTCACATCATTTGCAGGGACATGACAATAGTCAGTGATTATTTTTGAAAAAAAGCTTTATTCATGTATGCAAAGATAGTATCAGCAGTAAGTAAAAGGAACACACTTTTAAGTTTAAAATTAATCTTCCATTTTGAAAGGTTCAGTACTGTCTTCTCCCTTCCCTTAAATACTTGACTCCAACAAAACAGCAGACAAAAGTTTATTCCCTTACTTTTCCTTAAAGTCATCTAGCAACAATTACAATTGCTCTGTAGAATTTAGGGTATCATTCATAGTAAGCTGGTGATTTAATCACAGAGTGGTACATGTAAGAACACACACATACAAATTACAAATACACTGAAATTTCAGGACATTTCCTAGTTTTCTGGTATACTAACCTCCTGGTGACTTAAAAAAGATTTTTTACTTCAGATACAGAATAAAATTAAGAGTTAAAGATCATTAGGAACACTTATGATATGAACCATAGTGGTTCCATTTAGTTAGGGTTAAGTGGAATTTCCATTTTTGACAGGAAAGGGCAAATACAAGAAAGACTAAAAAGGCACTATAAAACTCATGTCCCTGGCAGGTCAGATGATATCCACCCAATTTGTTTCCCTTAGAAAGGCACTGTCCCAGCGCTATATTCCTAAGGCTTAGCCCTCAACTGCTCTTAACTGTTACTTGCCTATTTTATACCATGGAGCAAATCCTGACAGAATGCGAGTACAGACTGCAAAAGACTTTGAGTACAAAGGATCTCTGCTGTCACAGTGCATAATGTTCAATGAAGAGACCATCTAATCTAAAAGCCTATCACCTTTAGCACATTCTTGGGATACATTTATGAAACAAATTTTGTGGTTTAGAAATGTCAAAATTACCTACTTTGACTGTTTTGGGCATATTTTACTTTATAAAAGGAAATACAACAGACTAACAAAACTAAAAATGTATTTACTCTGTAACAACTAATATTTTGAGTGTTTTTATAAAAACAATTTCTTTCAGATACTCTGATTAACTTTTAAGTGACATACAAAATTTTCAGCACTCTTTAATACCAGTATTTTGCACAATTTTAACACAGCCATTGAGTTTAGCATTTTAAGAAAAAAAGAGTATTAACTCACTAAGAATAGCTTATATACCTAGTGAAGTTTAGTCTGTCTTGGATTCTTTAAACAAAATTATATCCAGGATTTTAGATATCCTAATTACCACCCCAACCAAATAAATAGGATATATTCATATGTGTGGATTCTAGATAAAGGGTAAAATATTTTGTATAAATGTAAGACCCACTGATTGGACTGTTAATCTCTTTTCCTGGGTTTAGATAAGGAAGACTTTAATAAAGCTAACTACATGTTGAGTTCCACTGATTAAAAATGCAGTTCTAAAAATTCTGCTTTTGTGGCAAATGTTAAGACAAATAATAAATGTAAAGTACAATATTGTAAATACTGTACTGTTCAGGTTGAGAAGTGAAATGCTTGTAAGTCAAACTATCAAAATTCTGACCTTTCAAAATAGGTTTGTAAAATCCTTTTCTTGAAGATTAGTACATGCTTTTGAACTCTTAAAATGCCAATGTCAACTAAAAGTCCTTAAGGTAAATCTTAAAAGTTATTCCTTCAACTATTTTTCAATTATTTGAAAATTATTTTTAATCTTTTTTTACTTGCAATTATTTTTCTTTTAACTATATAGTGAACACAGAACCAGTTTCTATATAAATATCTAATGAACAGATTTAACATAAAACTAGGCAAATTAACTTTTATACAAAGTTTAAGTGTGGTTTGTCTACATTTTTTATAATACTGAAAACCTTTTAGTCTCTTTTAATATTCAAAACAAACAACCTTCTGAGACTAGAAAGTTAGCAGAGATGATCAGATTTAAGCACTGCCCGACTTCTTCTAAAATGATGTACTCTCTTATCCTAGAAAATACAAAAAGTCATGTTAAATCAATGAAAGTTCTGTACTACCACTACTGATCTAAGATTACGAACAACCAATGTGTTATTTTAAGCTTTAACATAGTAAATGGGGAAAAGGAGATAATTTGGTAGAACTCTGCAACAATAAATGCACAAACTGGTTAGGCTCTATTAAATGATGAAATTAAAACAAAATCCCAGTAAACTCAGGAATATGAGTTATAATTAGTACCAGTTTAGACAATGATTTGGCAGGCCAATCAAAGACAACTAGTGAATATTTTGTGTGATTCTTAAAAAAGTTTCACTATAATTTATTTTGTGTGAGTGCATGCATGCATAGTTACCATGGCCCGTAAGTGGAAGTCAAAGGGTCAGTTTCTCTCCTACACTGTGTGGTTTCCAGGGATTAAACAGAGGTCATTAGGCTTGGTTGGTGGCAAATGCCTTTACTTACTGAGCCATCTTGCCAGCCAAATAAAAAAACATCCAACAAAACAACAACAAAATAATCCCAAGACCTGGGACAAAGCACCAGTGCCCAATTAAAAGAAAAAAAAAAAAAAAGAAAAAAAAAAAGAAAAAGGAAACTAACCCTTCCAAACAACAACAAAGAAAACCAAACCCCTACTACTGTTTTTATTAAGTTATATCTGACAGAAACCATATGAGAATGGTATTTCAATTTGAAATTCTTATTTTTGATTAAAAACTCTTAAAGCTTGTATATTTAAGACTTATCTTTAATCTGCAAAGATATTTCATTCCTTACAAAGTAAAGGTAAGAAAACTTAAAATGTTTTTTTCTCAAGAGGATTGATCCTAGGAACCTCTCATCCTCTCATATCTATTATGAAACCCTCTCATATTATGAACCCTCTCATATCTACTATGAAAACCTAAGCGTTGCTCAAATCTCTTACATAAAATTAAGATCTTTCTGTATACTTTAGATTTGTTTCATTGTTCTACCTAAAATGGAGTTTCCACTGCATTTCAAAAGTCTGTACATGTTCAATACAATTTAGCAGTTAAATTCAAAGGCACAGGAATCAGATATAGAAAACTTATGCGGAGAGAAATTATCTCCTTTATTCTGTTGCTTCCAGAGAGAAGCAACAGAATAATTATAGGAAAAAGAAGCTCTAAAAAGACAAAACTAGCTTAACCACTTTGTACGAAGTGCATGTAAAGAATTACTTCTATGTGGCTAGAAGTGACTCATTTGGTAAAGTACCTGCTTTTCAATCATGAGGTCATGAGTTCCAATACCTAGCACTCCCTAAATAAAAGGCTGGTAATTATAAAATCATAGTCCTCGGGTAGAAGCAGAGACAGGCAAATCTCTACAACAAATAGGTCAATCAGCCTAGCCAAATGGATGAGGCTCTAGATTCCATGGAAGATCCTGTTTCAAAAAGTAAGGTGGCTAGTAATAAGATGCCTACCTCTGACTGCCACACACATGCACATACATACAAGCATGTAGCCTGCCAGTAGGTGGGCCTAAAAATGTGGTCACAAAGGTACACATTTTTAGAGGTTAGTTAGGAAATTAAAATTATGGGGCTGAAGTTAAAACAAAGAATGGGATTTACCATGGAAACAAACTATATTCAATTTAAAAACAGCATTTAAATGCTATAGTAATAGGGTCTGTGGCTCCACAGATAATGCACTTGCTCTGTAATCAGGACAAGAGCTTGGGATCCTGAGAACCCAAGCATCTACTACAGGGCCCCATACACAGATGCCGACACAGATGTGAACATGCACACATGCACATACAGAGGTAACATACAACAGCAGGCCACTCTACTGATTTCTGACTAAAGTGGCAAAATCTCTGGAGTTCAAAAGGAAAATTTTTCTCTCTAATATTAGGTAAAAACTCAATTTTGAATACTTTCTGTTTTCAAGCAAGTCATTTAACACCTTTAGAACTTTCAGGCAAAGTGACTACTGCAGTTCTATATTGCACTACGATGAAAAAAAAAAAGAACTCGATTTTAAATGAATATCTTTTACTCATTATGTTACAAAAATAGCACTAACTTTTCACTGGCTGCTGAAGGCTAGAGGTTAGAAACTAATAGGCAATGGAATGGCAAGACACTTTAAATTTGATTTATGGTTGCACAATCAAGTAAATATACTAAAACCTATTGGATTATATACTTTAAACAACTGAGTTGTATGCCATCTCTATTACACACCTGTTATTAAAAATAATCTTCCCTTGAATGCAATTTTCTCTCCACTGAACTAACCCATTAATAGCCTTCATATTCAGAGACTCAAAAGTAAAGGGAACTTAAAGACTACCTGTTCTACTCATACTGATTCTACATTTGTAAAATGGAGCTGGGAGTGCAGCCTTGCCAGTCCACACAGGGAGATGATGCAGGCAGCCCTGATGAGACTTTATAGGCTAGGGTCAGAAGGGGAGGAGGTCCTCCCCTATCAGTGGACTAGCGAAGGGATAATGGAGAAGGGGGAGAAAAGGGAGGGATGCTCGGACTGGGAGGATATGGAGGGGGCTACAGTCAGGATACAAAGTGAAAAAATTATAATAAATCAATAAATAATTATAAAAAAGAAAAGTTTAGTAGTAAAGCATATGCTTATATCAAGTTCAAATCCCTAGTTCTACTACCCAAACAAAAATCACACGAAGAAAGCAGGCAAAGTGTAGTCTTAAAAGTGATCTGTCCAATGTGGACAGAAGATTAGAAACCAAATCTCTGCTAAATCCAAACCTTCTACTTTACCAACTCTGGACCAACTTCTATTTCTTCTCACTTGGCTATTTTCAACCTTCTCAGTTTTAAATGTATTAACCAAGTAGTTTAGTCCAATAGCTATGAATTACATTCTGCTTTCATATTTCTCTATTACTGTGTGGTCAAGTTATTATTTTCTTATCTGCCAACTCTCATAAACTCTTTATATTACTTTTTCCATTTCTCTATGTTTATGTTTGTTCCCTATCTGGGTATAGACTGAGGTTAATATCTGGAGTCTGATTTCTACCTTTTTTCACTGAACCCAAAGATCACTGATATGGCATGACCTAACTACATAGCTTAATCAAGATCCTGTCTTTGCTTTCTGAGTACTGGGATTCTAGGAAGGATGCTAAACCCACCTGGCATTTATGTGATTCTGAGCTTAAATTCACACTTCCTCGGAAAGTGCTTTATTCACAGCTCATGACTTGTTTACCTTCTGAAAAGTTTTCTTCCCTAAAGACAAGTTATTTACCCTAAGATTCACACTGAATCAAACACACTCAGCCGTCATAATGATTTACTAGTGGTTATAATAAACACTTCAATTAATCAGTATAAGAAAAATAATTGTTTAATGTTATTGCACATGCATGTTTTACTCTGCTAGTATTCTTACCTTGAAGTAGTCATCTTGAGTAACAAGAGAGTTTCTCAGTCTGTTCTCAGGGTTAAATAGACAAGAGACCACTGTCTGTATGCTTCGGTCAACAGATTTCTGAAACACAGAAGTTTTAAAGATGACAGCTTTTGGTCACTGCTAATGGCTTTTTCAAAGTATACTAAGCATATCCATTTACTTCTAAGAAATTCTTTCATAATATCAAACTCTTATGGTTTATTGTTTTTTATATTTTATATATTACCCCTAAAGTAATGTTTTAGTATCTTAGAAAGAGAACACTCTGGTTTAAAAAGCTGACTTAAAACTATGGTATTTTCCTTGAAGCATTTATTTTTTTCTATTACAGAAGAAATCAGGAGCTTTACTATTTCAAAATAGAAAAGTATTCAAAATGAAACCTGTAAGTGTAATTGCACAGCAAGATATTTTTAATTGATACATACATACATGCATACATACATGCATGCATATATATATATATATATATATATATATATATATATATATATATATATATATATAAAAATGTGAAGCTGGTTTCATTTTTTTTTTTAACAGGGTCTTAGGTAACCCTAGGCTTGCCTCAAACTTGCCTTTTGTGGGCCATTTCCAGAGGCTGGAGCAGCATCATGAACTGAGCATTCATTTGGCAAAACTTCGGCTCCTGGATCAACTTCGTTGCAGTGGTAGTTAACAGTTGTATAAGCCTATATTAAGATAATGAAAAAGTATAATTAATAGAAAACACCTAATATTCTACATCATATATTCTTCAAAATGCTAAGGTATTTCAGAAACTGTTTTAAACTGAAAGGCTAAAATGAAGCCTTACTTTAAAATGTTTTCTGTCAACACTATCAGAATCAGTAGGATTCTAAGAAAAGTAACTATAATATGTAGTAATGGAGTACGTGAGAATCTTTTGGTATATTTTAAAAATATCCAATCTTTATTAAAGTTAGCGAAAGCTAACATGTCTCTTTTTATTTTTGGATCTTTGAAAGGCTTTCTCTGTGTAGCCCTGGCTCTCCTGGACTCACTTTGTAGACCAGGCTGGCCACAAACTCACAGAGATCCGCCTGCTTCTGCCTCCCAAGTGCTGGGATTACAGGAGTGTACTACAGCACCCAAATCTTTTTATAAAGTAATGTTAATGGTATAACATATCTTTCTCCTATACATTTTCTCTAAGTAGCCAAGGCAGAGGCAAGTTCTGAGAAAAACAAATTCTGAATCTAGTATTAAATACTAGCTTTCTTGGATTATGTATCATGCCAACAAGTAACCAAAATGCCCATCTGTGATTGGCATACAAAATAATGTGAAAAACAAAAAAAGTAGTCTCTCTCTTATGTGAGTACACAACTGAGGTAACAAGAAAGTGAAATATATAATATAAAAAGGCAATTAAAATAGACATACATAATATGGCAAAAAAAAAAACATATTAGAAAACACTCTAAGACTAAAAAGTATGCTCAGCTAATTCATTTTACCGGGGGTATAACATAACTCCTCTGCTCTCCAGCAGGCCACTGCGGTGGCATCTTAAAGAAAAGGAAACAAAGATTATTTAAACATATTTTTTTACAAAGAGGTGATAAGACAATGTTAAGGTATTTATCGTGCAGACTCAAATTTCTTATTATAAGACAGAACCAAAGGTAGGTTTATGCTTCTTTTATCTGTGCACTGTTTCTTCTATACATGAAACTCTCATTTTCTCAGTTAGAAGCTGGCAGTCAGGAAAATTAAAAAAGACAGTGGTTCTTGGAAATTATTATTACAGCTGTAGTTATGGTTCACAAATATGGTCACATTAATTGGAAGAAATTTATGGAATTACTATTTCATTGCATCTAGCAAAATTAAACACTACCAGACAGACTCTAGTGCTCTATTAACTGAGCAACATTTTTACTTCAACCTGTCCTATAAAAATTTAAAACAATCAGCCTGGATTTTTCAGGTATTTGACAAAAGTGAAAGAATGCATGTTGACATAAGAACAGAAGATACTGAATCTTTGTTGTCAAAATATTTATCTCTAAATAACACTGATGCCTGAATTATACCACACTATGTGGAAATTTATATAAAGACAGACCATAGTAACACTCCCACATTATTATTATTTTTGAGACAGGGTTTCTCTGTATAGCCTTGGCTGTCCTGGACTCACTTTGTAGACCAGGCTGGCCTCAGACTCACAGCAATCCATCTGCCTCTGCCTTCCTGAGTGCTGGGATTAAAGGCATATTCCACCATGCCTGGCTCCTCAAGTTATTTTCTGTTTTCTTAAATTATCTGATAATTCAAAATCCTTCCCTTTAGGGCTCGAGAACCTAAAGAAAAGGCAGAAAGACTCTAAGAAACAGAGGGGTGGAGGATAGCATGAAAACAAGGCCTTCTAAACAGTATGATCAAAGCTCATATAAACTCACAGGGATGGAAGCAGCAGGCACATGCCTGCACCGGGTTCTCTGCATGTATATTATAGTTTTCAGTTTAGTGTTATATTTATGAGATTTCTGAATATGTGAATGAATGAGTCTTTAATTTTTGTGTTCTTTTCCTTATGTTTGTTTTGGTATATTCTGATGTATTAATTCTAATGGTATTAATCTTATAATACCATATCATTTTCATTTATGTGGTGGTTTGAGTAAGAACAGCCCTTACAGGCTCACACATTTGAATGCTTGGTCACTAGGGAATGGCACTACTTAAAAGGATTAGAAGGTGTGGCCTTGTTGGAAGTGTGTCATGGGGGTAGGCTTTGAGGTTGTCAAAAGCCAGAGTCAAGCCCAGTGTCTCTCTCCTTCTCCTGCCTAAGGATCCAGATGTAAAACTCTAAGCTTCTTTTCCAGCACCACGTTTGCCTGCATGCTGCCATGCTGATAATGGACTAAACCTCTGAAAATGTAAGCATGCCCCAATTAAATGTTTTCTTTTTATAAGAATTGCTGTGGTCACAGTGTCTCTTTGCAAGAACAGAACACTAAGACACTTTAGAAGCCTATTTACAAGAGTGGATCTGAATCGGATGGAAGGTGGGAGGTGGGCTGGGGGAAGTAAAGGAAGGGAAAACCACAATTGGGGGTATATTATATGTGAGGAAAAAAAACTTATTTTCAGTAGGGGGGAAAATACCTGGTAATTATAAACAGGCAGCTGATATCCAGTGATGACCTGAACTGGTGAACTTGGATAAGGAGGATATGCCTTAGAGTAAAGTTCACAGAAAGAAAATGGATTAATAAATTTGAGAAAATGACAAAGATTATCATTTACAATACAACACGTAATTTTTCTATGTAGCAATGCAGGAGTCTAAATAATTGACTGGCTTTATGAAGAAAATATTCCTTGTCAAATGATAACCTACTGGATGGGAGAGAAGAAATGACAATGTAAATGACTGCTTTTCCAAGCCAGTATCTACATTAGGTCACAGTGTACACTGACTATAAGTATAGTTCTAGTAGGGGAGTTAAATTAACACATTTTCTGTTTCTTATGAAAGCACCTTTGCACAATATGTACTCACAGCAATAGCAACAGATAACCTACAGTGTTTATAATTCTTCTGTATTTAATTTCTCAAAGTTAAGGGAATTACAATGTGAAAATGGAGAAAGGATAAATCAATGTTTTCTGTACTTGTATTTATTAACTGAAAACAAGTAGCAGCATATATAAATTCCTTGCATTAGTAATTACAGTAAATGTTAGATATAGGCAAGAAATTTCTTCTAAGCAGTAAGTCTATATTCCATGCACATAAAAATATGTAAGGTTTTACTATTGTACTTTTCTAGCAAAAAGTGTCTCAAATTGAAAACATACAATGTACCAAAAAATGCTATTTAGTATTAATAGGCATAGTAAAGCATGAAAATTTAAGTATTAACCTAATTTAGACAAATTAAATGGAAGAAGCTTATGATTTATAGATAAAACCCTCAATTCTAGATCTAAAATAAACACAGGTGTCAACAACTTACATGACGAAGCATTTGGAAAGTACTGTAAGTAAAACACAAACAAACTGATAGACTCTGGGAAGAATCAACTAAGAGAACATACAAAGCTGTTTCCAAACATTTAAAGGACTTTTCAAATATAAAGACTTTTTTTTTAACCAAAAAAGTGAAAATTCTTCTGTATGTATTTTTTTGTTTCTGAAATATTGACCTATGGGAAAAATGAGTATTTAATGTCGCCACCAAGGTTCTAAGGTTAAGGCTTACAAGCTACAGAGGCAGACTTCAGCTTAGCATCAGGAAAAAGCAACTAAGAATGAGAAAGTAGTAATAAACTCCTTATACTTGGAAATATTCCAAAAAGGAACAGAGTGTATTATCACTTAACAGCCAAACAGTGCATATAATTTTAGAGCTTGAGAAGACTATTAACAGATGTAAGAACAAGAATGCATGCAGTTTTTACCTGGACATACTGAGTTATAGGATTCATCATGGTTGGAGGCTGCATGTATGTCTCAGCATTTGGACTACTCCAAACACTCGGAAACTGTGGTGGTGGAGGAGGATTAAAAATCAAAGGACGTGGCTGCACATGATAAGTACCTTAAAAAAAAATTAAAAGAACAAAAGTTATATTGAGTTTTCTGTAAACCTAAGAAATTTCATGAACAAAAATTTCTGGTTTTACTCACATAAATTTTGTTTCCTGATTGCAGGGCCAAGCTTCAGCTTTTTACCATGGAAATTTATCTGTGACTAAAAACAGTAACAAATGATAACTTAATCTTTCACTTCCAAGACTTGTGCAAACACTACTGTAGTCACTATGTGTCAAGTTGAACTCAGAAAAGCCATTCGTCCCATTTCTAACCCTCTCTCTAGTTGATTACGCTAGAGGCCTCTTAAAGCAAGTTCTGAAAAGTTACATTAAGATTACATTCTGATTCTTAAACAGAAAATAAGCCTATTTTTCTCTGCATTTTATATAGGATTGTATAGTCAGGACTTATTCAAACCTAAAGCTAAAGAAGATTTTTTCGGAAAGACTATTACTTACTTCTACTATCTTCTGCACATCCACGTCATTATAAAATGAGACAAATCCATAGCTAGAAAGGTAAATGAAATATGAAATCATAACTACATAGTACAATGATTAGACCTGCTTACATTCTATGAAATAGCTGAAGTGGTGAAATTAAAGCTCAAAATGCTGTGATAGAGTACAGACTATATACCACTGCTGTTTTCTTAGTCTAGTATGTCAGAATGTGCTAATATTAATATTCATTAAAAAGATTAATTATCTAGCTAAGTGTAGTGCCTCATGCCTGTAATCCCAATACTCAGGAAGGCAGCGGCAGGGCAATCTTTGAGAGTTCGAGGCCTACCTGGTCTACAAAGTGAGTACAGGACAGCCAAGGCTATACAGAGAAACTCTGTCTTGAAAAACCAAAGGAAAAAAAATTATCTAAGGAGAAATAGCTAAAACTTAAGATACTGCAAAATGTGCCAATAATTACTTGATAAGAAATTTATGTGAAAGAGAAAACATTGAAATAGAAGTACTAAGAAAATGACGAAAAAACTAAAAAAATCTATAGAGTAAATTATCGAGGGCAACAATTTCATTAATGTTAGAATGCCCTTTGTAATTCTTGTCTATTATTTGCACATCTCTCTGGCCATGCTCGGTTATCAAGTATTATTACATACCCCTTCGACACACCAGTTCGATCAGTGATTATCTTCACTTCTTTTACTGAGCCATATCTGGCAAAGAAACTCCTGATTTCAGTTTCATCCATCTATGGAAAAGAATTGAACTTTGGGGGTAAAAATTAAGCATGGAAAACTTTTATTGTAAAAAGATCTTTGATTATGTGCAAGTCAATCTCTAATATTCCCAAACCATTCCACTTTGTTGAGTCTATTTTTAGTCTATATGAGTTAAAACCAAACCTGCATAGAATTTAAAACAGAAAACCCTCTTAGGCCTATACATCAACTCCCACTATCCACAATACTTGAAAGATTTAACGTAAATGTACTGAGCCTAGCTCTCCACTATGTTGCCCAGGCTCCTCTTGAGTTCCTGGGCTAAAGCACTCCCCCACCTCTTCCTACCCCAACACTACTTGGCCTCACAATGTATTTTAAAAGTATGAATAAAATATGAAAACAATACCCTAACATCAATTCCACCAACAAAAACAGTGTTTGGCATGATTTTGCCTTCTGGCAAAACATATCCTTGACTGGTGGTTGCTGAAGACGACTGGGTGCTGGCCTCCCTGGAGACAGCTGAATTTGGAGCCTCAGAAGCTGTGGTAGACTGTAATTTAGAAAACAGATAACTTTAAATACATATTTAAATATAAATATATATACATGACAAATTATATAAATCATTTGTTTTAGTGTTACTCTAAATTAACAATAAATACAGCTTAGTTTAATTTCAAAATTTAAAGCAATTAGCAGAGAACTGGCACAGAAATTAAATAAAATGATGTAGTTTCTTAAATATGCTTCTGTCATTTTTAAAAAACAAATGTTTTGAGTCAGAGTGGTACTCACAGGCTTCATAGATTTGAATGTGTGAATGCTCTGACATCAGTTTAAAAGGTTAAGGAGGTATGGTCTTGTTGGAGAAAGTATGTCACTGGAAGTAGGTCTAGAGGCCAAGCCAGGCCCAAAGGCTGTCTCTTTTCCTCTGTCTCCCAAGTGTTGGGATTAAATGTGTGTGTCACTATGCCCAGCTGCCAGTCAGTTTTTAAAAAAGTTAACTTTATAAAAATTTTAGGAATGAAATAGAAATTGTCAATTTTTTTTAACTTTTCTCTATCTACTTATGCCCATACCTGCTTTTCTGATCCTTGAGAACTACCTTATTCCTTTGAACAGTAAATTTCCTTTCTGATATTTCATGACAATGAAATGGCAGAGAGTAAATAAGTTACTTAAGTTTTCCTTCTTTTAATGTCTGACAATTTAATTTTTTTTCTAAATGGGACTTCTACATATGCTATGTATCTGAGACTATTTAGAACCTGACTATATTTGCTTTCCTAATAGACAAGCTATATATCTCTTTTCAATTTTTCATTCAAAAATAAACTCAGAAGGCCAGGCATGGTTGCACAGACCTTTAATCCCAGCACTTGGTAGAGGCAAGTGGATCTCTGTGAATTTGAGGCCAGTCTGGTCTAAAAAGCAAGTACAGGACAGCCAGAGCTACAAAGAGAAATCCTGTCTCTAAAAACAAAAATAGTAAGAATAAAGCTCAAAATATAAAACAATGGTTCTGTAATTTTTAGAGGAGATCCTTTCTCAATTTCCTTTTCTTTTATGGATGAACTTAAGATACATTTTATTTGATAAATAATTTTTATTTCTGGTATACGTACAATATATGGAGGAAAATAAAGCATTAAATATTATAGGATGCCCGATTTGGGCTTAGACTACCTGATTAATATAAAATCGGTCCCATCTTAATGTAGTAAAGAAGGCACACCGTACCATGGTCCTTATCCAGTAGGTGGCACTCAAAACTAACAAAGCAAAGTATTCCATTTTAATAAGCCCTGAACCACAGGCACAGTATCTACTGTAGTTATCCAAAACCCACACAACCAATAGATGCTTTGATTACCCTTTAAACACGACCAAAACCCACTCTACAACCAAATCCTCGTAAGTCAATGTTTGATGTTCAAGGAACTGTAACTTTTAAACTTATAGACAGGGTCTTACTAATTATACAGCTCTGGTTGGCCTGAAGTTTGCTCTGTAGACCAGGCTGGCCTCAAACTCACCGAGATTCACCAGCCTCTGCCTCCTAAGTACGATTATTTATTTTTAAAGACATTGTCCTATGTTGCAAAGGTTGGCCTGAAGTTTTGAAGGCTGAAGTGATCCTCTTGCCTCGGCATCTGGCCCCTACTGCCTTCCAAGTAGCTGAGATTTACATACAGGCATGCAGGCACACACTACTGAGCTCTAGTGATTTTACCCACCAATAGAATGTAACAGCATACTGAAAACAAATTGTATTAAATGTTAGAACACTAACAGTGAACTTGGAGGCTATCATACACTAACTGTTAAATACAGTAACCATGTTCCATTATATTTGAATGTCTACATCTCAAAAATAGAAGCTGGGAATACTGTTATTAAAGATCCCAGGATAACGTTTTTGAAATTTAATTAAATCACTATGCAAGCAAATATCCATAAATGTTACAAATAGTGGCCAAGATAAGGATCTAGTTCTCAGATTTCTGTTGCATTGAGAAAACGGTCCACAAATAGTATAATACTGTGATTTTAATTGTTAGAAATATTTACAATTATTACAAATATTTACGTGAAATATTCCTTCCAACCTAATTTTAACACGTCCTAAGCTGTATAGATTTTCTTCCTTTAGCTCTAAAATGGAAAAAAAAAAAAAAATGAACGAGTTTGCAACATGTAACAGGCTTGCGACTTAATGGCTACCAACGTCTTCGGCACCGTCTCTGGGGCGCCCAGGGCAGCCTGGGGCTGGGAGCCTCTTCAGCCAGCCTCCTGGGCGCCGCGATCACCGAGGACTTGTTTCCCACCCCCCACCCGCCCCTCCCCCAGCCCACGCACGCCAGACGCTGACCACGCACGGTGACGCAAGGCCGCCCCCCCACCCCCCGCGCCCGGGCGCCACTCCAGGCGGGGCCCCGCCAATGGCGGCCGGGGAAGGTTCCAGCCTCCGGCCTCCCCGCTGACCCGCCCGCCCGCCGCCGCCCCCGGTGCCCCCACGCCCAGCTGAGGGGCCGCCCGGCGAGGAGGCCGCCCCGGGCCCTGCCCGGAAGCCGCGGCGGGCCTCGGGGTGTGTGGGGTGGACGGGCCGCGGCGGGCCTCGCCCAAGGCCTGGCTCTTGCCGGAGCCTCGGCCCGATGGCGGGAAAGCCATGTCGCGCGACGCCCAGGCCGAGCACGTGGCCCGCCCCGGAGCAGCCCGAGTCCCCCCGGGGCTGGCCCGCAGCCACCGGCCATCTCCCCGCCGCCCCTGGGTGCTCGTAGGCCGCAAAGTCAGCAAGGCCTCGACTCCCAACCTCCAGGCCGTCCCCCGGGGGGAGGCTGTCAGGCGGGGACCCCTCTCCGGAAACGTGACAGAACCCCGACTTGCCGCCGCCCCCCCCTTCGCGCCACCCCGAGAAAGCCCCGCTTCAGCCTCCGCCCGAGGGTGGCGGCCTCCGGCCTCCCTTGCACCACCGCCCGGGCCTGCCCTCGACTCACCATGATGGCGGCCGGAGTCCGGGTGAGAAAGAGAGAAAAGGCCTCGCGTTGGAGCAGAAGCTGCGCGCGGCTAGCTGCCGAGCGGCTGGGGTGGCGGCCTGGCCTCCAACGGGCGAAGGGCCGAGGCGGCGCTGGAAGGAGAGCCGAAGGCTGCGGAGAGGCGGGAGCGGCGAACCGGACGAGGCGGGGGTCGCCGAGTCACTGAGGCGCGGCCGGCGCGCCCCCGGGGGTGACTGTGCGTGGCCGGGTGCGTGGCGGGGGCTCAGCCAATGGGCGGCGGCGCTCGGCCCTCGCAGGGGGGCCAGGGAACCCACGTCGCCCACCCGGGTGCGTGAGGGGTGCGCACGGGGCATGCGCGACGTACGGTGCCCGGCGCCCTGTTAGGCCGGATTCTCCCCCCCCACACCCACACAGACGGACGGACAGACCCGCGTCACCCCAGAAACGTATCGGACGCCCCTTTTGAACCAAGTTGCGTGCTGAGCTGGTGTCTGGAAAGCATTTGTTTAGCTTGTGAACTCAAAATGGGGTCTCGAATGCACAGGGTGGTCCCCGTCCGAGGGGCGCGGACACTGGGTTTAGAGTGACCGAAACGCCTGTAGAAATGAAAAAAATAACGAGCGGGTCTGGAGACGGGCATCGCCGCCCAGGCCTCTCGACGCCTTCCTGCCACTCTTAGGAGGACGGGCCGAGGCCGGCCTGGCTGTTGGAGGGAACGCCTCCCAGGCCGGCCGGGACAGCCGTCAGGGCTTCTGTCTCTTTGTTTTTGTTCTTTTCGTTGGTTTTTTTCCTTTTTCCCTTTCGAGTAAGTTGAGTGCCTGAATTAATCCGTTGCAAGGGACACAGCAGTGAACATACAAGAGAGTATTTCTTCCCTCACGGTGAAATGGGGGGCGTTTCTCTGGTAGGCTTTACAGAAACAAGCTAGGCCTGCCAAGAGAATTCTAGAACATTCTCAGTGTTGAAAGACAGGGCCTACCTACAGCAAAGCCAGTGTGAGGTGGCTGGTGCAGATAACCTTATTTGCAGAACTACTTAGCACCTTGCACCATCATGGCAGCCTTTTGTTTTTATTTTTTATTTCTTAAACTTACCTTTGGTACAGATAAAAGTATTAAAATATTTTTTGAGCTGGCAAAACGATACCCTTAAAATTACCACGAGCCATACAGTAATGATGGATAAAATAATAACTAGCTAACTAGCCTTATTTATAATACGGCTTTATAGAGGCACTCATTTAAAAGGGGGGAAATTCCAAGGTAGTGAAAATGAAAATAAGCTTGAAACTATGGCGGTGACGAATAGATTGTCTTCCGACCTTTGAGAGGTCGTAGTGTGAACAGTTGGACAAAGTGCTGGACTGTCCTAATTTTAGTACAGTGAAAATACTCCACAAACGATCTGGAGTGGTTGTTTAATGAATGTAGACTAGACGGTTCTAGCCTCTGTAGCTCCACGCCTAGACATGTGGGGATGGAGGGAGATCTGGAACTGAAAACCCTGCAACACCCCAGTACCCTTGAAAGGCATCATCCCGAGGAAGTGGAGACAACTAAAGCGAAAGTCATTTAACTCTGGTTAGAATTTGAAACTCTATACCTGCATCTCCCAAGTTCGGCTCTTACCTCTGTGCCATGATTGTTACTAGAATCTCAAAATGAAGAAAACGGTCTTCCTACTTCATTATCCCCTGTCCTGTGAAATATTCCTAGGCATGGTGTTTCTTAAATGATCAGAAAAAGCAAACCAAAGCCAATCTGGAGATATAGTAAGCGATCGTCGTAGAAAGGGGCTTTTCAAAGATAAGCCTACTGTACATGGGGCCTCCAGACACAGTCTCTGCTTGGGAGGAGAGACCGAGTCGAAGAAAACCGAAAGTTCAAGGCCTTTCCTGACAACTTAGTGAAACTGCTTCAAAATAAAGAGAGAACAGAGTACAGCGCAAGGCAGGGCACTTGCCTAGTATGTATGGAGGATGTCCTTGGTTTAATTCCCTGCAAATATGTGCACGGGTGTTTCTCTCTCTCTCTGGACATAGAGCCCTCACAACAAAAGATTATAAAGCATTTACCAAGAGTAGGAATGGCATGTTTGGATTGTGTATACTTTTCTTTTTCTATTTTTTTCCCTTCATAACTTCAAGTAATAATTCTGTGTTTTTTTTTTTTGTTTTTGTTTTTGTTTTTGTTTTTGCTGTCTTCTTTCTTTTTTTGTTTTTTGTTCTTTCAAGACAGGCTTTCACTGTGTAGCCCTGGAACTTGCGCTGTAGACCAGGCTGGCCTCGAACTCACAGAGATCCGCCTGCCTCTGCCTTCCGAGTGTTGGGATTAAAGATGTGTGCCGCCACCACCACCTGGTTCTTCTACTGCTTTAAATAGAAAACTAATATCTTTCCTCTTTAACAATTCAAATGACTCAGGATGTTTTAATTAGTAAACCCCTGATCAGTTTTCAGTATCCAACCCTGTCTTCAGCCCTGGCTGTCCTGAAACTCTCTTTGTAGACCAGGCTGGCTTTGAACTCATGGAGATCTGTCTATCTCTCAAGTGCTGGAAATGAAACCGTGCAGCACCATGCCCAGCCCTTCAGGTCTTTTTTTTTTTTTTTTTTTTGTAATTATTTTTTATAGATATATTTTGATCATGTTTCCTCTTCCCAATGCCTTCTAGATCCTCAACTCCCTATCCACCTTAATTTATGTCTTCTCTGTTTCTCTCTCAACAGAACCCCCACAAATTGAAAATCAAATGAGCAAAAGTCCAATAAGATAAAAAGAAGCAAAGCAAAATGAGCAAAAAGAACACACACACACACACACACACACACACACACACACACACTGCCACCACCACTACACCAACAAAAGCCATGGATTTCCTCTTGTGTAAGCCAATACTCCTGGGCATGGAGCCCGCTCTCACGTGTGCTTGATAGACCCAGTGACACTTCATAGCAGAAAACAGATTTTCCCTTTCCCAGCAGGTATCAGTTAAAAATAGCAAGCACATGTGTCTTCCGAGAGGCTTCACCCAGCAGCTGATGGAAACAGATGGAGAGATCCACAGCCAAACAATAGGGCAGTCTTGTGGAGGAGTTGGGGGAGGGATGGAGGGAGCCTGAGGGGTCAAGGACTCCACAAGAAGACCTATGGAGTAAACTAACCTGGGCCCATGGGGGCTCACGGAGACTGAACCACCAACCGAAGAGCTTGCATGGGCTGGACCTAGGCCCCCAACACATATGTAGCGGATGTGCAGCGTGCTCATCCTTAGCTTAATATAAAAGGGGTGCAGTGATACCTTGAGGACTCAGTGGGGTGGGAAAGTTTTGTTGACTTCAGCCCCATAATAAAGTGAACCCATGTCCCATTAAGGTACAAGTACCTGTGGGATCCACAGATGCCACAGATTAAGTGTGGACTCCTACATCCCTTTCTTTGAAAAAAGACACTTTATTTGGCTTAGTATGAATACAGAAGACTGTACTATGGCCTTGGTGGGTAGTGGGTAGGTCCAAAACAGCAAAAGTGAAAGACACAGGAAGAAACTCCATGGTGTCGGCTCCAGGAAGGGGAGTTCTTATATTGCTGTTAGAGTTGCCAGATCACAGTGCAAGGTCTCTCAGGCCTGCAGGCGAGACAAGGGAAGTGGAAAGAAATGAAGGTGCTTTAAAAAACCAAATATCCATTATCAGGTAGAGAATAACTTCCAAAAGTTCCTTATGGAACGTCACCCACCCAGTTTGAGGACGGATGAAGTGTGCTCAACAATGACTGTATGCTTTCTCCCTGACTAGAGGCAGGGGGCTAGCTTTTACTTCTGTGTCCTTTTGTAGAAGTTGTTTTTACTAGACTCTCTATGTTATAAGATAAAGAACAATAACTTGCACTGGAAATAGTTTAACCATTAGCTGTCCTTAAGGGCATAGCATCTTTACCTTTTGGAACATTTTGTTCTCTTTTCCTTGTCACAGAGTCAGAAGGCCAGCCCGACCCAAGACGAGGTTGGAGAATGTGGTAGTTTGAACAGTATGGCCCCCATAGACTTATGTGTGTGAATGCTTGGCTTATGGGAAGGGTCACTTTTAGGAGGCGTGCTCTTGTTGGAGTAGGTATGGCCTTTTGGAGGAAGTATGTCACTGTGCGGGTGGGCTTTGAGGTCTCCTGTGCTCAAACTACACCCAGTGTGGCACAGTCTCCTTTTGCTGCCTGTGGCCATTGAGATGGTATCAGAAAAGGGAGGGGGAGAGAGAGAGAGAAGACCACTAGGAGAGTGGGGCACAGGAGGCCCCGAACTTCTCTCAGGTTTCAGCACCAAATGTTAGGTCAGGATTAAAGGAGGCAACCTGGAAATAAAGAAAGAGCCCAACCTCAACAGAAGCAGATTGTCATTTCCCAGAACAATAAAGGGCAGCAGTCTTTCCATGGGAGTGGAGACAAACCTAGGTGCAGGAGACTTGAGGGTTTAATAGGGCAGAAAAGAGACTTTGTGAGTAGAAGATTCTATCTGTAGATCTGATCCCCTGCATCTCAAAGTTGTAGGTGTGAATGGACATTGATATGTTGACCTTCTTGTCAGGAGCTTCCAGGACCATAACCACCTACAGACGTTATTGGCATTTCGAGTTTCCCGTCTGGAGCGTCTCAGTTCCTCTGAGGCTTTTAGATCATTA